AGCGTGGCTACGACGCTCAGCAGCATCGCACAGCTTAGCAGAGGAGCGTGCGACAGATTTTAGTCTGAAATCTTTTTTAGAAAGTGTAACAAATTGTCCAGATCTCTCAGCTTTCAGATGACACAAAGGAGGCCTTGATGGAAGTGTATCAGGTGTCCCCGCTAGCTGTTGTTTGGCCTTCGTGACCGGTTCCATTTCAGATTACATCCCTGATCAAGTGCTGACGGAGGAGCGGTTGGTAGTTTGAGACTGCCGGCGTGCCGCTGTCATTCACAGTGCGTGCGGGGACTGCCCTGCCGGGGACCCCCTGTCCAGGCAGCACGAGCTGCGGAGCAGGGGCCATGCGCTGGGCTTTAACATCATTGAAGTCTTCTACGCTTGGTCCCATCGTTCACATGAAGAACAGCGGTCTTCCCCAAAGTATGAGTGGTTTTTCCAGGTAACATGTTACTTGCAGGCCTCGGGTCAAGCCTGCTACTCTTTGTGTCCTGATCTTTGGTTCGTGTTTGTGTGTGTGTGTGTGTTTGCGATCCCATTTTTGCTCATGCGAAACTGGCGTCTGGCTGATCTGAGGGCTGGGTGACTGTCTGTCTTTGGGGTAATTAGCACAGGGAGGGAAGGACAGAGGAATGGATGGAGAGGGGGATTTTGGAGATCTTGTGCTCCTAAAAAGTGTAGAATTGTGAGAAGAGGGGGAGGGAGCAACCTGAAAAATCCCTGCGTATTTCATTGTGAGAAAACGGACTAAACCTTCAACAGCTTTCTTGTTTTTTCTACTTGTAGAGAAAAAATGTTTTAGGCAAGAAGTAAAAGACACGTTTGGAAGCTGAAGGAAATAAAGAGAAAAAAATAGATGCTCGTACATGTATTCACTAGAAAATAGAAAAGAAGCAACAGGAGAGGCAACGGAAATTCAGTAAGATTGGAGATATAACAGGAAGTGCGACTGCCCTATATGAAAACAATAAAAATACTAAAGCAGCTAGAGCAAGGGAAGCAACATAAACACGCTTTTAAAAACGTTACTGGTCATTGCATTTACGTGAGCATAATGGTTGGGTTACTCCTTTATACAGTTTTGAACAGTCCTGCTTCTTGAGATAGGTAATGAGCTGCTGATAGTAGATGTAGCTTTGTTTAGAAGTGAGTAAGAGTGCCAGCCATTGTAATTACGTTATGATAAATCCTCTGACAAAACTCTTCCATCAGTGAGTATGGTTGCAAATTTGCTGTGCACAGATAAAAAGGAGTAGGCAAAACTGCTTAATGTTTTCCTCTCCGCTTTGACATATTGAAGGGTTGTAGTGGTGGTTGTTAGGGATGTGACTGCAATTCTGTCTGCTTTCTGGTCTCAGAGTCCAGTCCTTCAGGTAAGTACTGTACTGCTCGTAGGTGTCTTGGGCTGAAATGTTGTTCTCCTGTCCCTAGGAGCACAGGATCTGGCAGCAGGGCTCTGTGTGTGCTAACTGCTTTTCAGGTCAGAGCATGTGGAAACTGCTTTCCCCATGTCATTTAGCGCAGCTTCTTAGAAATCCAATACATAAATTACGTAAGGGGATATAGATCAATTATCCTTACTGAATGGCATGCGTCGCCATTATAAAAGCGGACAGACGAGCAGGGATGCTATGAATGTTGGAGGCCAGTTCTATCATTCTTTATGTACTGGGTTAGACAGAAGGATCTGGTCCAGACCATTCATCATGTTTCTGAAAAGCCCGCAGCTGATGGTTAGAAAGAGTTTTTGCTCCTGCAGAATGTTCTCTGCAAACTTCTGTCAGTCTGCTGCCTTGAAGACAGCTTAAATTGTATTTTGAATGTTGAACGGTTCTTACGGTTATAAGAGAGCTACCCAAAAAGTAAAAATAGTTGCTATGTTTTGTGTCCTGACATCTGTTCTGCATTTTTCTCATTTGTGAGAGCTGGAAAATTTTCTGAATTATTATGATGTCTGAAAGCAAAGGTGATAAATTTCAGTGCTGTAAATGGGAGATGGTGGATGTTGTGGCAGACTGAAAAATGAGGACCTTTGAGACCTGGTGGTTTTCACCATGATTCTTAGGGCAAATTTTGCACTAGTACAATGGTAGGATGAGAATAACTTTTGAACTACTTAGCTGGAAAGAGGTCAGTGCTCCAGGATTCACGCTGTATTATTTGCCCTTCCTGGCCAACAGTTTTCAATGCTGAAGAATAACGTGTCTTGGACATTGCGTGCTCAGCTGGCAGCTAGGGAATGGCAGCAGAAAATGGGAGATGACAAACATCATCTTTATGGAGATCACAGGACATGTAATTGTCTGAAAGACAGTTAATGTGTCTTTTTACCCAAACACAGTGTTTTTAGGAGAAGTACTTAAAAATTACATCATAAAATAAGGGAAAAAAACCTCTTGGAAGCCAAACTGAAAAATATTGCACTGAGAAAATAAAAATAGGCCTGAAAACTTCCATTCTAGCTAAAAATTAAAAATTCTGGTTTTTTTTTAATTGGACATATTCTGTTGTTTTCCTCCTGTCGCCCATTTCACATACATGCTTAGGGTCCCAGATCTGTTTTGAACTGCTTGTCTGCCTGCACAGGCTTTCGACATACCCTGAAGACATTTCACTTCTGTCAGCTACAGTGAGAACCCTTCCTGGAAACTTTTGCATTGCTGGAAGGCAAAAGCTAGTTGGAAAAGCTGTCTACACCTGTAGCAGTAGCACTGATGCCACAGGTGGACATGCTGAAACAACGTCAAAATCAGGCTCACTTCTGTTGTTGAAGCTTTGTGGGAACAAAAAAGGTAGAATACTGGTGTATGACTGAAAAGCTAATATAAAGTTTGCTTAGAAGTATTAACCAGCATGTTCTTAGCGTCTTAGCTGGGAATGAGGGCATCTCTCTTATTCCCTGGCAATTCACCCAAGTGGCTATATAGAAAGCGTGATCACCAGCCGTGCAGCTGTGACTCTCATTGAAGCTGCGTGTGGCTACTTTAGTACGGAGTTTGATCCTATTGCTAGTTACATGGATGGTTTTGGTTTTTTGTTCTTCCCGAGGCTACAAGCCGCACAGGATTGCCGAGAGTATCTCATTGTATGATATTTTTGTGTTACATCCTCTTTGGTTAAGTGTTCTGAAGTTGTGTTATATGTATCCTCAGAAGGAAGCACTCGCTTGTGTTTGAACTTTCCAGCACCGGAGTTCAGGCCCTCAGGTGTCCTCTCTCCAGCAACAACTGAGACAATGGCGCTTTATTTTTTCAAGATAAATATTCAAACCTGAAGAGTCTCAGGTTTTGGTAGGTAGGCAGTGACGTTTCCTGTTAGGTTTTTGTTGGGGTATTCTTTAAAGTTATGGGAGTTTCAGTTTTGCAGTGGAATTTTCACAGATACTCGGTGTCAGCCCCAGTGCTTCCCTGGGTGCATTCCTATCAGAAGTTGGAAATTCAGCAAAAGATGTGGCTTAAAATTACCCATTTCTCTTAATGGCTGGGGACTTAAATCTTTTTTTGTCATTGGTTTCTTTATATTGCATCTTAATAAAACTGTAATCCTAATAAATTATTTTTTATAGTTCAAAAATCAAGCTAAGAAGTGCTCAGGGCACTTCAGCAAACTTCCAAACTGTGCGAGGTAGACACCATGTGTTTGCAATACTGTGCAGTATCCTCATCCTCACTTTGCTCGGATTCAGTCAGTATCTGTGGTTTCCTTGTGCATTAAATCTGTGGTCTGAATTGTTTGGGTGACCCTTCCTGCACTCCTGGGGAAGTCCTGTCTTGGAGCCTTACTGGCAGGTGTGCAGCTACGGGTAGTAGGTGCTGCTGCAAGGAAACCCTTCTTACCGTTTGTGTGGATGATACTTAGCATGATGGAAATAAAACACCTTCCAGAACCTATGGTTGATACTTTGCTGGCAATGAAAGTCACAAGGTAAAAAGAGACATTAAGATATTTCAATGCTGAGTCGGGTTAAGCTTAGTGTTCTTGCTGTGTAGCTTCCAGCCTGTAGTTCGTATAGGCTGGGCAGAGGAAGAGTCCATGTTATATGTCATGAGCTGACTTGGGCTAAGTAAGAATACTGTTAATGTTACAGCTTGGTTGATCTGCTGACTAGGTACAACGGAGAGGGGAGCTTTCTTCACTCTCTCTTCCTGTCCTACACTGAGCTGTCTTGCAATGTTAAGTGGGGAAAAAAACCTACACTATAAAAAACCTCAGGGTTTTGCTGGTCTGTCTCCCTGAGCAGTAAGACAGTGCTGTTGCCAGCACAAGGAGCAGACTGGGAATGTGAGTGTAGGGGTGAAGGAGGAGTGAGGGCTCCCCTTGATAGCAGCTGGCGGTTACATTGTCTCAGCCTTGACATTGATTAAAAAAACAGCCAAAAGGACAAAAAGTAGGAAGTGAAGTCTACTCCTATGACATGCATACATACTGAAGTTTTGTCATTTTGGTTATGGAAAGTATTTTTCTGAACTGGAACAAAAATAATTAATGTGTCAATCTTTCCTCTTTCAAACAGGAAGCAACAACTTTATATGGCTCGTGTCTGACAACATGCACCACCAGTGGCTGCTGCTAGCTGCATGCTTTTGGGTGATATTCATGTTCATGGTTGCTAGCAAGTTTATCACATTGACTTTTAAAGACCCAGATGGTAAGTTCAACTATCATGTTTGATGTGAAACAGAAAATTGAATATTGCTTCACACAAATACTCTTTCTGTGCAAAGTAGTTCTCAGCATGTTACCACTTCTTCAGTAGGGTTGAGAACAGAGCAACTAAATTTCTAGAAGTGACAGTGCTGATACTCAGTTTCTGCTTTTCTTGGTAGAAGTCTGCAAAACTAAAGTCATGTCTTTTTTTTTGATGGTTGAGAACTAAGGCAATCATGTTTGGCAGTACTATCTTGTGAGGTCCACTTTTTCAAATACAGTCAATTTCAGTATCTTGATCTACTAGGAGCAGAAGTCTCCTGCAGAACAACAGAACACAATTACCTGTTTAAAAACAAAGGAAATCCACAAGGAATTAGATAGTTCATTTCACATAATACTAGTTTCTGTCCTCTTGTGACTGCTTGTCCTGTGGCTGCAGTATTATGTAAAACCTGTGGAAAGTTTTATTTCATTTGCAATGCACTTAGCCTAGCCACCTCTGCCCTGCTTCTTGCATCCAGTTTTATCCTCTGCTGTTTGACTGACAAACAGCTTATGGGCTTTTGCTTAGCTTAAGTAGCCCAGATGGTATTAAGCTGATGAAGAATTTAAGCCATTTGATGACACCACACAGCATGTCACAGTTTTCTGTCTGCTGAGGACCTACTGTTACAAAGCCAACCTACAGAGAGTTTAGGTTGAAGGTGATGACATGACTCACAGTCCTAAGAGATCCATATTTCTGCATCTTCCCAAGATATGCAAAATATGTGTGACTTTTGAAGTTCTAAGTAGCATAACTCTGTGTGGAGGTTTATTCAGCAAGTCTTACAGATCAGAACTGTAGGCTAATCTATCTTTCCTTAGTCCCAGCTGTTTTTGAGCCCTAGTACATCTGCAAATAAGCTGAGTTTATGTTTAGGTCGTAATATCTTCCAGTATTTCATTCTATGTCAACTGTTGTTTCCCAGTTCAGGTATTCTTTGAGTGGTTCTTTCCACCAGAGTTTGTCACGAGGATTAAAGTGTAGTTTAAAAAATATTACTAGAGTACACTGTCTGCATTTACTTGCTTTTTATTATCTCGACTTTCTAATTCTTCTCTTTTTTTTGTCTATGCTAAATCTTCCTTCCCCTTTGAATAGTTGTCTGAGCAGAAGATTGTCTGATTTCTTAAGCTCCAGTCCTGCAAAGGCATGACTGTGGTTAAATGTATGTATGTGTTGGAGATACCAATGTTTGTATTGGGACTAATGGAGGGAAGTAATGTAACTATACCAACAGAATTTTGGAGAAAGTCCCAACAGGATGGCCAGTCCTGGAGGAATTCTGCTAGACTTAAAATATGGCTTGTCAGAAATTTTCCTTCTTTGGATCTGTCTACTTAGCAGCCAGAACAAAACCAGCAGGTGCTCAATGAATCAGTGTTCTTCTGTTTAGGCCTTTTACTGATGTCTTGGGTGCATAAGCAATAGGAACTTCTTAATGAGAAGGAGCAAGTTTCTGTCCATTATCTCTATCAGCATCTGCAGGCATGCTTTTACCCAGTGATAATGAAAGATAGTTTAACTGCTCTTGCACTGAATCAGATTCCTTTGGCTTTACAAAAGGATACTGTGAAGTAAGTCTGTGCACAACAATATTTACTGTAGCTGATTGCTTGGATGCTTACATTGTTTTCAGCTTTAACTTGCTTCTCCGGGTGTGCCCTTTGTTAAAATCTAGTGTAGGCAGAGTAGAATACTCCCTTAAGAAAATGCTATGGCAGTACCCACATTTTCTCAACCATAAAACAGTAAGCCACCGTGCATGCAGATGAAGAAAAAGTATTCATAGAAGAAACTATATGAAGGGAAAAGTAGTCCAATGTGGATGGAAATAAATTTTCAGGGAGAAATCATGTTCTTTTTGCTTTGGGGTTAGGGAAAGCTGCTTCAAATTATTTTTGATCTTTCTGCACCATGTAAAGTCAAGCTACATCCTTGTGTTATTTTTCAGTTTTCCTATAGCATACCAATTGCAAAAGATGCAAAGGATTCTTCCCTTATAGACTTCAATTTGGTCTCAAACTGTTAGCTGCCCTAACTCATTAAAAAAGAATAAGAGTGTCAACTGAGTTTGTTCTTCCATTGTGGGAGTCTCTAAGGAAGGCCATCAGTCCAGTAATAAAGGAAGAGGGGGTCTTGTGTTTGTTGCTGGTTCGAGGTGTTTACTTAGAGCACCAAAGAAATAAAAGGTGGTTGTTAATGACACTTTTCTTCTGCTAATGTCTAAGAGTTTACAACAGAAGAAACCTATCTACTAACATGAGGGGAGAGAGAAACCTGATAGATTAAGTTTTTTATTTGGATGTGCTTTGAGAAGTTTATTGGAAAATAAAAATCTCATACTGTCTAGTCCATATAGTTATACTCAATTGTCTACCAACTGTGATATTTGGATTTATGATTTCTATGACTCTTTGCATAGTTTGTTTATAAAAGAACAAAATAAAAGATAATAGACAGATTGCTTTGATAAAACTCAACTGAAGTTGCATCCAAAATTCCCGTAGAGTACATCCTGTAAAATATTCATTGTGTGTCTCATGTCTTTTCTAGTACCTTCCCATTTGGAAACAAATCCAAATGTTTTGTAAGCTTAATACAGAAAGTGATGTTCAGTAGTGTTAGCCGTAGAGCAGAAATAGTTGCCTTCCCCCCACCTTCTGTAATGCTCTTACCTCTCTTCCTTCTTTAGGCTACAGCGCCAAGCAAGAGCCATTGATACTGACAGCTGTGACAAAAGTGGAGGAGGTGCATGTGCCAGAGCGAAAACATTGGCCTGAAGTATTCCAGGTGCATGCTGTTGAGATAAGGGTTACATGTATTAAAGAATGGGAGAACATAAGATATTAAGTAAGGGCTTCCTGTTGTTAAAAGTAATTGCTAGACAGGAATTATTTATTCAGACTGTTGTATTTAGATAGAGCCAACAGAATTCATTTTAGCTTCACAAAGCTAGTTTGTCACGGTAACCTGCTGTCTTGTTTCATCTGAGTGATTCAACTTGATGTGTTTCCATTTCTAGGGGAAAATCATTACAGTACTCCTTTGTCAAGTCAGGACAGTGGTTTTTGCTAGCCTTTTTAATATAATGGCCCAATTTTGGATTATTTGTGTTCTGCCTTGCCATAGCCATCAGGTTCGTGGTTCTTGAGGGCAAGCCTGTGTCTTGTCTATTCTCTTGGTTCTCTGCCCAGTCTCTCTGATTCTTTTTATCAATCTCCATGTCTTTTTCATGTTTTGTGCTCATTGCGCATCACATCTCAACATTTTTCCAAAGCAGAACATGAACACAATAGTATTCAATACCAGTTGATGCTTTAGATGCATAGTTCTGTGCTTTCAGCCATAAAGCAAAGCAAATGAGGTACTTGCTAATTTACAAGGAAACTCTGAAAATCCCTTATGCAAATGTAAATTTGAGACTAGTTGCACAGTTGGCTATGGCCAGGTTTTTTTCCATTGGTTACATAAGTCATCTTATGTTTAAAGTGTTTTTGTGATGCAGCATGGAAGGTAGGTTTCTATACAAACATGACACTTTGTTTTCTTATGTAAAAATCATGAAATTCAAGTTGTCCTCAAAATACTGGGGCGAAACACTTCGTTCAGTGGAAGGCTGGCAGATCTGTGTAGTGAGTTTTAATATCTTCCTTGATTTGTATGAAAGAGGATAATAATAAGATTTCTGGATCTGAAACTATTCCCTCTTGACTTCCTGACAGCATGAAACACAGAACAATAATATTAATCCTGGTTGCATGCAAAAGGAGTTGTTTTGACAGATAAGCAATCTGTCAGGCTGTTCAGACTACATTCTGACCAGAAGATACTGGAGAAGAATAACAAACAGGAAAAGGAGAATGAATTTTTTTTTTCCCTTATGGTGGGTTGGGAGAAAAAATCATTCCTTTTTCATTTGTAGCTTGGATACTGTACTGAAGATCAGAGAATCATAGAATGGTTTGCGTTGGACGGGACCTTATAGATCATCTAGTTCCAACCCCCCTGTCATGGGCAGGGACACCTTCCACTAGACCAGGTTGCTCAAAGCCCCATCCAGCCTGGCCTGGAACACTTCCAGGGAGGGGGCATCCACAGCTACTCTGGGCAGTTTAAACGATTTCTTCCTTATAGCTAATCTAAATCTATCCTCTTCTAATTTAAAACCATTACCCCTTGTCCTGTCACTCCATGCCCTTGTAAAAAGTCCCTCTCCAGCTTTCTTGTAGGCCCCCTTCAGGTACTGAAAGGCTGCAGTAAGGTCTCCCTGGAGCCTTCTCTTCTCCAGGCTGAACAGCCCCAACTCCCTCAGCCTTTCCTCATAGGGGAGGTGCTCCAGCCCTCAGATCATTTTTCTGGCCTCCTCTGGCCCCGTTCCAACAGGTCCATGTCTTTCCTGTGCTGGGGGTTTCAGAGCTGGACGCAGGACTCCCGGTGGGGTCTCACCAGAGCAGAGGGGCAGAATCCCCTCACTCGCCCTGCTGGCCACACTGCTTGTGATGCAGCCCAGGATATGGTTGGCCTTCTGGGCTGCGAGCTCACATTGCCAGCACGTATCAAATTTTTCATTTTTCAGTATTCCCCAAGTCCTCTTCTGCAGGGCCGCTCTCAATCAGTGCATCCCCTAGTCTGTGTTGATGTTGGGGATTGCCAAGTGTGTAAATCAGTTAGTGGAAGGGGGAAGATTTCTCAGTAGAAATTTAAAATTTCCCATCACCCATTAATCAGACAAGCTCCTTTTTCCCCTCTCCCCACTAACTGTGCTTCTCTCATTTGCCACAGTACGTGCTGTTGCTCATTGTGTGACTTTTTGTCCACTTAATTTTGTTGCAGCTTGGGTGAATGGAAACACTGAATGTCTACAGGTGCTAGAAAACAACACAGAACTCTTATCCTAAGTTCTTCTTTCCCAACCAGATAGGTCAGCATACCTAAGCCTCATTTTCTCAGAGACTAAATCTTAATTTCTGTTGAAATTCCTGTCGCAACCCCTCAGAAACTTTCTTACTTGCTGTTGAAGCTCTGTGGGAATTCCAGTATTTGGTCAAGGCATGTTGTACCACACAGATAATACACTGCTGCTCTGCAGCGGACTTAAATTGTTGCATGGAAAAACTCTTACTACTGCCTACTACTACATAATGTCTCAAGAGTTGAACCAACATGTACAGCAGCAGCACAGGAAGGAAACTGTATACTGCTCCTTTAGTTAATACATAGCAATGTTTTGATAGTGAATCTGGGAGTCGTTAGGATGTACAGTTTGGGGATTTTTATACTTTAGAGTTTGACCTAAAAGTTAAATTCTTGCACTCTTTTTTTCTTTCCCTGTCCATTTCATAAAGCCAACTGGAAGAGCCTTTTCTGGAAATCTGATCCGCCAGCCCCTTCTTCATATGGAAAGACTTGAGCTTCTCAGGAATGTCTGCAGAGACACTGCACTGAGAAATCTTTCTCACACTGCAATTTCCAAATTCGTCTTGGACCGAATATTTGTGTGTGACAAGCACAAGATCCTGTTTTGTCAGACGCCAAAAGTGGGCAACACTCAGTGGAAAAAAGTCTTGATCGTTTTAAATGGTACCTACTCTGCTGTGGGTGTGTGGGTGTCTTTGAGGAGGAGGAAGGAACAGAATTGGTCCAACTGGGGCAACATGAAAATGGATTCTTTCTGCTTTGTTGTACACTGATACTTAATTTCAGCTTTCATTCTTCACAGTTGCTTTTAGTCCTTTCAAAACATCTCTTTTAAAGAAAATAAACCTGTTCATTCTGTGAAAATAAATATTGTTACTGCTTGGCTCAAAAGTGATTTGAGTCATGGAAGAGTACCCATGTGCATGTGGCAGGTAGATGTGTTATCTTTGAAGGGGTGGCACTAATTTATAAAATTTGAAACAAGTAAATTACAAGGTATCACAATTCCCTGAGAAACAATAATATAAAATTTCTGACTTGAAGTCATTGACTTTTAACTAGGATTTTTTAGCCATTAAGAAAGCTAGTTAAAACTTGGCAGCTGCTGTTGGTCTGTACTCCTGAAATGCAGGAAGATGTGTTATCTTTGAAGGGGTGGCACTAATTTATAAAATTTGAAACAAGTAAATTACAAGGTATCACAATTCCCTGAGAAACAATAATATAAAATTTCTGACTTGAAGTCATTGACTTTTAACTAGGATTTTTTAGCCATTAAGAAAGCTAGTTAAAACTTGGCAGCTGCTGTTGGTCTGTACTCCTGAAATATTGTGTATGTGCTGTCAGTGAGGCATCATAGGAGTTATGAAGATTCTGAGGTGCTTAAGGGGAGATAGTTTGGTCAACAAAGGTATGTTACAAAAGACTGTAAAAGAAGGATTAAAGGGACTAGTGTGCTTGCATAATGATCTACAAGGTGAATGCTGCCTGTCAATATGTAGCCTACCCTCCTCTTGTAGTAGCCTGATATGCCAATAAAAATAACTCATTTCCTCGGGGTTTTCTGTTGTACCACTACCTGCACACATAAACTGAACTTGGTTGTATTTAACAGAACGCACCTTAGTTTGACATGAGACCCTCTTGCCCGTCTGTGAATTTGCTACGTACAGTCAGGTTAGTTGAGGTCCTTGTGTGGTTTTGCAGGTGACATAGCTCACCAAGATGTGGGCAAAACCTGGGCAGTGTAAACCCAGCTTTCTTGTTACAAGCACTCTGCGAACAGCCAGCTCTGCACTTAAGTTTTTATGTTTTCATGTTTTCTTACCTTGTGTGAGCAAGTTTGCATGCCCAGAAGCAAACAGATACAAATTGGCAAAGGAACTGTGTCCCTCAGCAAAAGTTTTGTTTTGTACCGAGGGGTATGCCTTTAATAACTTTAATATTAGTTTCAACTTTGATATATGGATGGGAGCTGAAAATCCAGTAAAGGCATGCACACACATAAGTGTGGGGATGTGTCTTCAATACCTGTGACAGCTACACTCTAAGAAAATACTAAATATGAAACTATACGAGTGCATTAGAAGTACCTGCTCGTACCAGAATTGAACAGAGAGAACACGCAAAGAATAGCTCAGGACAGCCAGGGACGTATTGGCTGCATTGAGTGGAGGATAACTTGTGTCTTACCAGGAGGGAACCTTTCACCTTGAGCTTCCTATTTCTGGCATGTTGGATAACGACAGGAAATTGCTGCCATATAAACAGCGCTCTCTTCTGCTGTAGGCTGCCAGTGCCCTAGTATCTGCTGCTGAAGGCTACCGCTGCAGTTGACCTAACTTTCTTTTTGGGTAGTTTCAGCAGGCAGTACAGATACTCGAGGGGGAACACATAAGTGGTATTTAAGGTTCACAATGGGGAAACGCAGCTGTGGCACTGTGGGGGAGGTAACTCTGCTACTGCTGATACTGAATCTCTACTCTGGATGAGTGCAAGGTTTCAGTGTCAGAGGCTGTCTGACGTGACATCTGTTGTCCGCATGTGATTCACCCACAGTACCAAAATATGTAATGAGAAAACTGAAATCGATAAAATACACCCCCACCCCCACCAAAAAAAAAAAAAAAAAAAAGGAAACTGAGAAGCTGAGTGGTGTGGATTATTCACTGCAGTTCTGGAACAGAGAAGGCTGTAGAGGGTTTCACCTAAAGAGCTGGTTTTGTGGTTTGTATGTCCCTGTTCGTGTTGCGGGTTGGCACTCTGAAATAATGCAGTTGTGTGAAGGCGTACTCTTAAAGCCCAAGGCACATGAGATATTTCTCATGGTCACAAAAACTTTCAGGATCAGTTCTTAAAATAAATGCATCAGATTTTAGTGACATTATTATTCTTGTCAGCTTATGTGCTTGAAGAAATCTGAAGGCTTTCTATTGTTAATTTTAGTACTTTTATATCTGTGTAGCACTGTATGATTGGAATTCTTGTTTCAGATAGTGTAGTTTTTAAAAGAACTTCATGGATCCTAGCACTAAAGTGCTTTTGTGTTGAAGCAGTTCCAAAAGCAGCCCACAGCATTTATTTTTTGTTGTTGGTGGAAACTCAGCCAAAAAGCTGGTTCCTTCTTTGGAATTAATCCTCAAAGTCTTCCTCCATTTGTATGCATTGGCAGGGGGAAAGAGAATGGGGGCACTGAGGTAGGGAGTTGTAGGCTTAGATGTAATTGCTGGTGAAGCTTGTGTAATGTGTGTTTCTGAGTGTTTTGAGGCCGTTCAGTCTTGGACCTTGATGTCACATACCCTAAAGAATTTTAACAGTTTTCGGCTTCGCAGTCAGAATCTCTCATCTCATCATTTAGCAGTTTTAAACATAGTAACCATAAATGCTAAAAATACAGAAAAGAGAAAGATACAACAAAAATCTGTCAGCCAAAAGCACACATGCTTGCTTGTGTTCGCTTTTTTTCTCCTTGAAGGATTCACTTGCTCTCTCTTTTTTATTTGTCTAGGAGCATTTTCTTCCATAGAAGAGATCCCAGAAAATATTGTGCATGATCATGAGAAGAATGGCCTTCCACGCTTGTCCTCCTTCAGTGACTCTGAAATTAAAAAGCGGTAAGAGGTGACTTCCTAGGAATGTGGGAGGGGTTTGGAGTCAGTGGGCAATGAAGAGTACAGCTGAAGTCTACATCTGGGATTGAAGACAACGAGGTTCCTGTACCACCAATTGTATTATGGCACAGTTCTGTTATCCTCACAGATGTTGCTGTGACTACCTCCCTACTGGCTTTGAAGGAGAACACCAGTGTAGTTGGTGATACAGTTAGGTGAGCCAACAAACTCCCTCTGGATATAGGGTTTCTGTAGTTCAAGTAGTTACATAGTTGACCTTGAGAAGGGGAAGTTTAGCTGGAAGGTCCACCCTGTTGCCTTGCACAGTTAGGATTGAACTGGATAGGTGTAAAACATTAGTGCTCCTTAGCCTGAGAGTGTTGTCCGTTCAGCTGAACCATTTTATTTTCCTGTTTGGGTGCTTCTGGTTCTTCTCAGAGCAGAAAAAATAATTCTCTGCAGTAGATCCTTCCAAATTACTTGGGCCAGATTTTTCACCGTGTCTGCTCTCATCTCTACTAGAGCCGATGTCGTATATAATCCCCGAAAAGGGTGGCAGCATGGAGAGAACAGGACATAAGATGACAGCAGACACTTGTAAGCTTGTGCTTGCATGGTTTTTGTGTGTATTAAGTCGTTCTGTAGAGTCAGCCACTTACACACGTGGTGTCAGGTATGAGTAGAGGTCAGTCCACGGTTTGTTGCATTCAGCATTACAAAGACATTTATCACAGCTGTGCCTGTGGAAATGGAGTCACTTGATTGTGTTGATAGTGAGCAAGAGGAAATACTGTCACCATGTTCTTGAGAACATGGATTTGTTCTCCCTCCCTGTGAACAACCCTCCATAGACAGTAACTGTTCACCTGGGGGATGAACCATAGCTAGGGTATTTGAAGTTGAATGCCATTACAATTCAAGTTGTTGCAGTCAGCCCACCACAGAAGTTGCACTGGAGATGCATAACATGGGTTCCGTTGGGATTCTGAAATAAATTATCAGAGAGTTTAGGAGTAGAGAGAGGGATAGTGCAGATCTGTTGATCTAGTTTGCTGACCTCTAGCCCCTGCCTGGTTAGGAGTAAGTCAGGAGAACCTGAAGACTGATCCAAGTGCCTGTTGAGGCTGGAAAGAGTCCATCCACTTATTTCAGTGACGACTGGGCTCTATATTGCCTTTCTCAGCTATTTACCGAAATAAACTTGGTTTTCAATTTACTCCTCCTACAGATAATCTCTGACTACAGAACATTACAGTTTAGTGGTATCACATCAAAATGTGAAATTCTGTTGAAAACTGCAGTTTCATGAAAATAGTGCTTTCAGCCATTACTGAAAGCATGACAAAACTTTAAATAAAATATGACTTTTTTTTTTTTTACTTAAGCAGTGATTTGTCTAACTACCTGCCAGTGAGAAATGCAACCCTGTATGCATTTAGCTGCACCAAGCCACTTTTTCAATGCCTTTGTGCATTTTGCTTCTTGAGCTTAATCACATGGCATTAAAAATATCTTTGACTCGGAGCTTTCAGCGTCTTTCATTTCCTATTTATATGGATTGAGATAAACTAAGCTCCTCCGGTTTGAATAAAATGTGAAAACTAGGATGAACTTTTTCCACTTTGTACTGTATACAAAAACTGTTAGTAAGAAGACAGAAATTGTATTTGTAGTCCTATTGATTATAATATAGATAGACTATGCAAGTGGTGTAAGATTCATCTTGCTGTGTCTGTGGTCAGTGTTTATGTACATTTTGTCTTTGCTAAACACACTTCAAACACATTGCTAAACGCTTTCCTTAATTGTTTAATTTCTTATTTTCTTCCTTCCTCTGTTTAGACTGAATTTATACTTCAAGTTTTTTATTGTTAGAGATCCATTTGAAAGACTTATTTCTGCATTTAAAGACAAGTTTGTGCACAATCCTCGGTTTGAACCTTGGTACCGGCATGAAATTGCTCCTGGCATCATTCGTAAATATAGAAAGAATCGCACAGAGACCAAAGGGCTACAGTTCGAGGATTTTGTGCGCTATCTGGGTGACCCTAACCACCGATGGCTGGATGTTCAGTTTGGTGACCACATCATTCATTGGGTAACGTATGTGGAACTTTGTGCCCCCTGTGAAATCACGTATAGTGTGATCGGACACCATGAAACTCTGGAGGACGATGCTCCGTATATCTTGAAAGCAGCCGGCATAGACCATCTGGTATCATACCCCACGATTCCACCAGGCATTACAGTGTACAACAGAACAAAAGTAGAGCGGTATTTTTCAGGAATTAGCAAGAGAGACATAAGACGCCTCTATGCGCGCTTTGAAGGCGATTTTAAACTCTTTGGTTATCGGGAGCCAGATTTCTTGCTTAACTGACACCTAGGATAAGCTCTGAAGAAGTGTCTCGTGGATTAACCTAAACCTGCGTAAATACCAGCTGCAACACTGAGGGAGCTGGGAATGACCATTTGTTTTCTAGCTTTTTGATGTTGCTCCATTTTTCAGTGAAATATTTGTCATATGAACAAGCAGGGGCTTATAGTTGTTGTTTACTGGCCATGTTTTCACTATGTGACATTGCAATCTGTTAGGAGTGAAGTCTCTGTTACCTGAAATACAGAATTCCACTTCTCCCCTCTTCACTCCAGGAAAAAAGAGGGACAACGAATGGGCTATGATCTTCCTCTCCCAGACAGAATGCCATTTTTAAGATATTAGGAAGTATTTATAAAGATGGCAATTTCACTGTAGGTTAATTCTGATACGTGGGTGAACTTGATGATTCATGCTCATGAGGAGGGCATGTAGTCTTCTCCCATGAGCTTTGAAAATGAGAGGCCAGTACAGGACTAAAAATTGATTCAATGCTTGACAAGTAAAATCATCTAGGTTCTGTCATATGGCTGCTACAGTAACAATAATGCTGATCTAATCCCATTTTTGTTTGTCACAAATCTAATTAGACGGAAGCTTTAGAGGTGTTAAAAAAGAGACTGGTTCCAGAGCCCAGTTGTCTTTGTATTTTTGTCAAGTGTTTGCTGTACTTACTACCGGTCTATTAAGCCTCATAATTCTACTTTTGGTTTTCAAAATATTATTTAACTCCTGGCTATGTAAGTTACCTGAGAACACCAAGTGCAAATGGAGCATAGAGGAAATATGAAACTGCTAGGGAAACTTTAAGGAAAATTAATTTAAAGTAAAGTATTAATTGTATTTGCGAAAGCACATTTAGAGATGCTCTCTAAATATTACACAATTTAATTTTGTCTTCTAACGGTTAAGATTAATATAAAGAAGCCACAAAAGCAGGATGTCATATAAAAGAGCTGCTAGAGTTACTTGGGTTAATGATCTGCCTTTTTCTTATATCCAGCCTTGCTCAATGTTCAGTGCCTCAGAGAACAGAAAATTTACCCCCTCTGAAAATTCATCTCCCTACTGCTAGAGGAGACAGGATGGATCCCTGATTTTTTTGGTGGTTCACTGCTGTGGTGTCCCGACTCAAAAATGCCCAACATTTGTTTTACCAATGGGGTGAGTTGGCAACTTGCCAGCAATGTGAATGTCGCTTAAATTTGTGTACCTGTTTTATGCATTAAAAAAAGAAAACCAGAACTGAATGGATGCAGCCATCATAGTTGCCTGTGCTTGCATTGTATCTCATAAAGAGCAGTCTTGTTTGAGTTCACCAGCAATAAAAATCGGTGCGCTGCCACCTCATCCTGCAGGTCATGGCAGGGAGAGACCACGTATCTGAAATACAGGAATTGCTCTATCACAGTGAGCACGTGAACTGTATTTTTTATATCTTAGTCCTAAAATATTAATTGTCAGATCAACATAGTGTTGCCGGCTAGAAATGCTAATGGTGGCCAGTGCTATGGAATCTGCTCCTAAATCCAGCCACAGTATGGTTTTGATAGCTTCCTGTATCAACACAAGGAAGCGTCCTGCACTTGTGGAAAAGGAAAGCTGTGCCAGGCTGACGTGTGCTGCAACCCACAAAAAGGAAGCCCTGTTCTAGCTGGAAGCGAGTTCAGAGAGATCTCAACAGACTAATTGAAATAAGGGAGAACCATTAACTGGGCATGGTTAGCAAGAGAATAGTCCAAGGTGGCAAAGTTGAAAGGTGGGATTTTTTATTTTTTTTTTTAAAGCAACGATTACAGTGCCCTAACTTGTTAGTTCTTAACCAATGATAAAAAGAAGTTAACAGCTCCAGGTTCTTCTGTGGTTTTCTTAGTATGGGAACTTAGCAAAATGTACTGTTAGATGCATTTTGGAGCTAATGAGCTGATTGATTACCTCTCTGCCAATTCAAAATGTAACAGTGTGAATAATGTGTAATGAATTCAGGCCTTAAAGTTTAATTCTAATAAAGATAAAGTAGAATTGTTTTCCTCTGAAAGCATAAGCTACTGATCACACAGAGTGCCAATGTATGTTTTTATTTTTCTTGGTAAATTACTTAAAGTATCCATTGCTTAAAAGTTGACAGGTGTAAAGTGCTACGTAAATATTAAGTAATAATATTTTTTTCTAATAGCTTTCTCTGTATTGAGTTCTCTCGGGCATCTGACAGCAAATATGAACAGAGCTATGGACTGCCGTAGGCAGAGGTGTGTACTGCTCTCCCAGCTCCGTGCCTACACGCTTTTCAGGCTGGGACTGGAACGCTCGGTACCATTTCTTAAATTCAAACACAAAGCTTCTCTTTTCAACGATACCCTCCTGAGCTGTCTTTTATTTCTAGAAGGGTGGTTTTTTTTCCTCACATGGCTCAAGTAATGATGGTGTGATTTTGGCATGGCTCTTGCGGAGACTTGGACAAAATGAAAGCCCTTGGTGAGGTATGGTAGGGTTCTCCTTATCTCGGTCCTGTGCAGGTAGGGTGGCCAAGAGCATACTGTGTCGGGGAAGAGGCTCTTGCCCTGCTAGTTGCGATTAATTAAATGCTTCTGTTTTGTTTTAGCTTGATTGTACTCTATACAAGGCTTTTATAAATTTAGTCCCAATGGCATGCATGAACGTCATTTGGCTGTTAGGATGTCATTTGCATACCACTTTCAAACTGTAGGTGATATTTATGTCATATTTTGGGAGTTGCTGGCCCAGGTTGTTACTTCTCTTTTCTTATTGTTGTTGCAGCTTCAGAAAACAAAATTACATCCTTACGTTGTGCATATCTGTTTCTTTTTGTTGTCTCTCCTCAGCAGCTTTTGAGTCCTTTGGCGCATTTCAACCACATTTTACAGAGGAAAGTTGAGTTTTTAGGGATGGTGAGTTGCAGTAATCTTCCTGAAAGTAGAGGAGGAGAGACCCATTTTTTGTCCATCAGAGAGTCCATGCTGTAAGATAGCTTTAGGGAAAGTACAGACAGGAAACCGAGCTCTACAGCTTCTGCTCATTGTGGAGCCTCAGTTTGTCATGGACTCCCTTCCCTAATGCTCCAAGTCTTCCCTCTGATCTCAGTTAACAAAGAGAGAAATCATGAATTAAAAAGTATTCTATGGGTCTGTTATCGTCATGTTGCATATAAAATGAAGGACACTTCTAGATATCAGCTGACTGGGGTTTTTTTGAGCTCTTAGGGTTTTTTTTTTTGTCATGGTAAAAATGGATCTGGAATTCACTTGCATGTGAACCACCTTTAAGGGCAACGCCTGTACCCTTTTAACTTCCGCACACAGTGCGCTGTCACTGGTGTGCTTTCTGATGACATGCTGTGAAGATGTTTTTCTGTAGTTAAAAATATGTGTGCAATTTTTTTTATTTTGGGAACTATTCCTTCAAAGAAGGAGCAATTCAAAAATGTCCTGAAAAAACGTATTTTTCATGATAAGCGTGTTGTTTTCCTATTCATGCTCAGATGCTGCCCTGTTTGTGCTGAGGGTAACAGCCCCCTGCTGCTACCTCTTGTCTCTGTCCTCAGATCAAGGAAGCCATCAGACAGCTCTGGCTTTTGTGTAGCGTTACTTTTTCCTTGAGGCGTTAATAATTTTGTTGGCTGGGAAAGCCACCTTTGATCTTATCTGTGCTCCAGAAAGTTTGCTGAGAAAAGAGTGATTAGATAGGGATTGTTTAAGCTTATTTTCTCAGATGAAAAAGGATGTCTCGTCAGTGTATCTGCCTGTATCTGATATCCCTTAATTGACAGACAGAGGCTGAATGATCTTTCTGCTTAATGGCCTTACCGTGATTCACAGTAAGCCCCCATCCTAATATTACAGCAATGTGAAGGGACCTGGAAGGAGGTGTAAATTCAGCATGTTCTTATTTTAAATGTGAGGGGGTAAAGGAAACTTGACACAGCAGTTGGGCCCTGAAGATCTATCGTGGCTAATTGCTTGTTACTTGTCATCTGCAGAGGCTGGTGCATTTTCTTTGTGGCCTGCGCTTGGGAAGATTTATGTGAGGTAGAAAGAGGCTTGTGGGTGGTGGAAAATTCCTCTTCAGCCCAAGTTAGCTGTGCGTGTTCCTGGGCGGCTGCCGTGGGGAAGGTTTTAGCAGGGGATGATCCTATTAGCAGCAAAGCCTGCAGTGCTGGGGCTGGCGAGCAGAGTGCCTCCCCGCTGGAGGGGGGGGGGGTTCGGCTTGTGCCGGTGTGCACGGCCGACTTTGATGCTGCCTTGTATAAACCTCTGGTTTTGTGCTTTTAATGCTGTTGTGTGCAGCTGAGCTGTCGTCTGGCTTTCCTGCATGTGGCAGAAGCCTGAGGTGCCTCATCCCGTCGCCGCCGGAGCAGGAGCAGCGTTGGAAGGCCTGCAGCCTGTTTTGCTATGCAGGAGGGGACGTTTCCCTTCTGAAGCGAGCAGCATTAGGCCTGCAGCCACGCAGCTGGTGGCAGCAGGCTGGTCTAAGTGCAGAGGTGGAGGTGTTCGGGGCTAGCTGCTGCAAAATCATCGTTTTCCCTTTTAATCCAGGCGGGAGTGAAAGGGAAAAAAAGACATGTGTTTGTTTTGAGTCATTAGAGGGAACTGCGCTGATAGAAATTCCAGGCTGGTAAACCTTAGGAGAGCAACACTGAAAAAAGCCGTGAGCAGTTGCTTTAAAGCCCCCCGGAGATGCTGGACTCCATGTTGAAGGAAAGTTGCTGAAGCTTCATGGGAGGTGTTAGAGGAGCGAGCGTGCTCCCCCCGTATAGGATGTACGCATGCCAGGGGAGCAGCTGCTGATGGGACAGCATGCGCGTGGCAGGCTGAAAGCACCAAGCATCTGCTGTGGGTGTCTGTTTGAAATCACAGAAAGGGAGGGAAAAAAAAAGTGGAAAGGAAGTAACGAAAAAATAATCCTGAAGGTTGCACACCTGGGAATGCAGTACCCACCTAACTGCCAGGAATACGCTGACCACCCTGGGTGCATAAAAGTCGTTTCTGAGTAGTTTGTGGGACAAAAGCAAATCTGCAAATAGGAGGGTAAACGTTGACTGTAGCACATCTGTACACACTCTGGAAAGGGATTTAATACTGAGAACCTAGCTAAGGCTCTCAATCATGCCCAAGTAAATGGATCTCATCTAGGAAAAATGTATAGCTGTGCTGGAAGCATACAAGGAGAAGAAAAAGCCCTTGTGGAATAACAAGGTCTTTCAACAACTAGATGTTACGCACCTACTGTGATTTAAGAAGTAGGAACATTTTGTCTTGTAGATCTTTTTTCCTCCTGTCTACAGACTCTGTTTTATTCAGTTTTCTTTCCCATCTCCTGAGAGGTCTTTGGATGATACATCACATTATGACCTGTCATTTTGCGCTTGTCAGAAGGGTAGAAGAGGCTGTAGGAAATAAAAAAATGTTCTCCATAATTTTGAGGAAACACAAAGAGAAAATTCGGGGAGTTGTTACCAATCATGAATGACTTGTGGCAACTGTGAAGCATCGAGATTGCATGAGCTACTTCTTAGGTGTTTCATGTGCTGGTCAGGAATTCACTTATGGAAAAATTGCCGCTGTTCTGTTCTGTATTTGGCATCTTTGTTCTTATGCTTTGAATTGCTTCCAGTAAGGTTTTACAGCAAGTGAAATTTGAAATCTGCCATACTGCAAAGCTTCACTTTGGATCCCCCTATTTCACTCTCATTCTACTTTAAGCATTGTGTAGAATAAGGGTTGACTCTTTGCACTTAGTCATTTTCCTTGGTTTCTGACTGTTCTTTGCAATGCTATACCATTTGTGCTTGTGAAAAGGCAGCAAGCAAGAAGACTCTGCGAAGAGCACAGGAGAAGACTCTGGAGACCACAGGACTCCAAAGTGGGACTTTATTTGTATGCCTCTCCACTGCCCAAGCTTCTTTCATCTGCCAGCTCTGTTTTCCTTTCA